TTGTGTAATACGTAAGGGGTTTTGTTCCGAAGGTAACCCGTATAGAAAATCGTTTTTTAATGTATCCCCAAATGAATCGTGGTGTTTTACTATTGCTGTGTTTTATCATTTCCTTTATCAGTGCAGAGTGCATAGAGGGGTGTTTGCAGATTCGGTCTCTTCTGTTTTTTGAATGGCTTCTCAGGATGATTTAAGAGATTAGTTGACGTAGTTGACTAATGGATCTGGCACGACTGACTTACAAGAGTTCTTTAGACCCAGAGGACAGATAGCTAAGCCTGCGATGGGGCATATATAGCATCGTTTTTTTTGTTTTTCTCTTGTTAACCAAAATCCTCAGTATTCGTTTCCTACGACTGTGATTAGTTTACTTCTGTTTCCATGAGATCACTACTGCTGTGCTGAGTGACCTCTCTGTAACTCTTTTACTGTTGTCTCTCAATCCCAGATTATTCTAGCAGATGAATGTACGGAGGCAGAAGGAAGATACTGGCACATGAAGCACTTCTGTTGTTTTGAGTGTGAGGCTGCTCTCGGTGGTCAGCGTTACATCATGAGAGAGAGTCGGCCGTACTGCTGCTCCTGCTATGAGTCCCTGTATGCAGAGTACTGCGATACCTGCGGAGAACACATAGGTACTGACTTAAGTCTAAAGAAAGTCTTTTACTGGGGTTTCTATGCAGCTAACAGCCATTATCAGTCATATTTAGCATATATAAGCAGTATACAAAACATTTAATAAAGGGTTTATAGTTGCAAGCAGGCATAAGGACATTTTTAAGTGTTAATTAATGTACAGTATTTGTCTGCAGTTATAACTTCTTTTATGAATACATATTTTGTATTATTACAACTGTGTTTTACTATATTATTATTTATTGTAAGTTTATACACCAGCCTTTGGGTGCCCACAAGAGGAATTATAGTTGTTGACAAATACACAAACATTTACATCTGCTTACAACTAATACTTCATTTTAATCAGTAGTAACTGGTAAATGTAAATAAAGCCCATTTCAGATATACAGCTCATTACGTAAATGAGATGGCAATTTAACATGTTGGTCTAATGTCTGATTAAGCGCCTGAGTTACTTTTACATAAAAAGTCATGACAGTAATCTTAGTTGTTGGACTTTCCTGTAACATTTCTGGAAAACTTCTGCATGCTGTCAGAATAATGTAAAGGCCACAGCAGCACAAGATTAAAAATTAAAAATTAAATGCATTTCTTGTTCGCTTTATTAAGAGCACTGCGTGAATGTATCACTTCATTCTCATCTTTTGCATGGCAGGAACACTGCGAACAAGCTACTTTTAAGTTGATTCATGTCAGATCAGTCTATGAAAATGACTTCTAAGCAAAAGAGGTTTAAAAAAAGCCTGCATACAACCACAATAACATTCGGACCAGCTGTCTGCCTCCTAGTTTCTTTTATCCCAGCTGCATGGGTGAAATTCCGAATATCCCAACAAAACTTAAAACCTTGTTTTACAGACAGAGGAATTCTCTAAGAAATGGTGGAAGCGGATGAAAACATTAATTTATTATTCCCTATGAGTCTGAAAAGGGCTTCAATGTCACAGATAAATGCTATGTTTTCTCCAAGTAACACAGTTCTTATCGGTAGCTATAAGTATGATGTGTCACTTGTGTGTTAATATTTAAATACACTAGTATGAAGTCACAGTTTTGTGTCATAAAAGTACAATTAGCTGAGCCAGTCAAAACTGCAGGACTCCAGATATGTATACATACTGTAGACTCACACTGAGATAATAAAGATTGAATTCTGCAGTTGACACAAATGTCGTGTGTAATCATGAGATAATTTCCTCTCAGGTATCGACCAGGGCCAGATGACATACGAGGGTCAGCACTGGCACGCCGTGGAGTCGTGTTTCTGCTGCGCCCGCTGTCAACTACCTCTGCTGGGACGTCCCTTCCTCCCTCGAGCGGGGCTCATCTTCTGCTCCAGGGCCTGTTCGCTGGGCGAGGACCCCGATAACTCGGACTCCTGTGACTCTGCGCTGCAGAGCAGACCGCCTCAGCATAGACGCTCTGGGACAGCAGAGAAACACCAGCAGCCACAGTGCGGTTCCCCACTGCAACCACTAGAGGGCATCAGACCCCCTATAACTCCTGCAAAAGACTGCATTCATACTGCAGTGGAAAACAGAGGTGATCCTAGCACATTGGTGTTATGTAGGTCACATTGCCAATAATGACTCTGTGAGTTAGAACCTCTTTAGACTATTCTCACACATTTATATGCTCTGCTTCTCTCAGGTGTCCACTGCACTGCTCCAGTTCAAAACGGTGGTCCTTCACCCAGTGGTCATCCTCATCCAAGAGGTTCCTACTCCCCTCTTCCCCACATTCATCTAGGAAATGGTTTAGGTCCGTCTTGGCCCAGCGATCTTCCACATTACAGTTTACTGCCAGGGGACTGTGGTCTCAAACCTCCTGTCAGTGGTCTAAATGGCAGTACTGGACTAACTGGTCTTAATTCAAGAGGAACCTCTACTGCTAAAGACTGTAGGAACTGGGTGGAAAGGACAAATCAAGTTATGCAAGGTATGAGAAACAAGTGCTTAATACAGAACAACACGCTGTCAGTGTTGTGTAATCTCACAACAAATTTTCTCTCCGCAGTGTTTCCTCCTCAGAAAAACTCTCATGTGAACCAACTAATTTCACCCGACTCGCCTCCCGTCCCGCCCGACCACCTGTCCATCCTCCCACCGCCTCTGCCCATCAAGTCTCGTGACTTGATGCCCCGGGAGTCGCCCCCGCCAAACCTCCCCCCACCGGAGGACAGACCCTCTGATTCTCCGCCCCCGCTGTCTCGCAGTGGCACAGCGAGGGTCAGCTTCAGAGAACCCATCAGCAGCAGCTACTCTGTTGAAGAGGACGAGGATGAAAATGAGAATGAGGAGGAGCTGCAAGAGGGCGAGGAAAACCAGCAGGATGAAGATGAAGTGGAGGGAGGTTTCGGAAGCAGGTTACATCTACAGAAAGGCATCCCGCCGCAGATGGATCTGCTGGGTGAGAAAAGGCTTTGAGAGAGTTGAATATGAACTCACTTGAAAATTTGTGAATCACTTTCATTTTGTTTTTGTCACAATTTCATTTTTCCAACCAGATGGATCCTCTTACCACCAGCGGAGTCTGCGGCGAGGGTGGAGCCGCTGCCGTATCCCCTCCGACCCTGCTCTACACCCGGGAGCAGAGAGGCGCTCCCAACGCTCGCGGCCCGACCGGCCTCGGCTGGACACCCTGGACTGGAGAGGAGACAAGGACAGGGACAAGCGAGGCTCACTGACCCTCCAGCCGGGCCAGTACAAACATGAAGACTGCTCTACATGCTCTTCATCCTCAGACTCAGAGGAAGAGGGCTTCTTCCTGGGACAGCCCATACCTCTGCCCCCGCAACTGCGAAAGCAGCAACCCGAAGACAGAGAGGGAGAGGAGGAGAAGGAGGTGCAGAGAGACAAGGGACTGAGAGGCAGCATACGGCGGAGAAGAGCTCACAGTCTTGGTGCAAAGGACAAAGATAAAAACTGTGCTATCTCCTAACCCCTAACTGCTAGAAACATCACAACACAGCATGTTGTTTTCACAATTGTGGTGCACAAGAAGAACTAATGGCCCTTCATTACTCTGGTGTTCAAGCTGTTTCATGATGGTGACGTAGTGTTAAATCCAACACCCGTGCAGACCTTTTCCAAAAGTGAACCACAGCCATCGTTCCTGACACACTACTTAGCAAAGGGAAGCACAATAAACCTCAAAGTTTTATGGTATTGACTTCTCATTGTTGGACTTTGAGATGTTGCAGTGTAGAAAATGATGTATGAGTCACGTGAGTAGTGAAGAATGTGGAGTGATTATTGGTAAATTTGGATTATATTTCGACATACAAGAGACTGTGTGAGAGAGTGCTGTGTTGCAGTTTGTCAGAACAGCACCTGATGTGAAATGTTACTGCTTTTTAACATCACCATCATTTACATATGCAAACCTCCAGTAGCACGTATGACCAGGAACTGACCGCACACTGCGCCACCAGTGGTTTGTAAAAGGAATATTAAATATGTTATTTTTAACTCTACTGTAACCATTTTTATGTGCTCTTATGTGCAATTTTTATATGGCTGTAATATATTACAGTTATACTAAATACTAAATGGCCAAATATTATGGGATGGAGTTTGATGGCTTAAGAGATCTGTGGTGGTTTTATGCTTTGAAAATCAAAAAGGATCGTCAAGGTATCACAGGAGGTTAAGTTTGTCGCGTGTGTGTTGTATAGTCCAAACGAAATAATGGAAAATTTGTATGACGTGCATTCATGTTTTTAATCAAAGTAACACTTTAAGGTCATTTATTTTTATATACTTGGTGTAGGTCGCTGTTCTTTCTTGTTTTATTGCTGGTAAAAGGAGGAGATATTAATGACAGTTTCTGTTTCTCTTGATTGTGTGAGACAATTTTATGGTGATATTAAATTTGTCTAAATTGTTATTGTGCACTTTATTCCACACACAGACCTTTGAACCGTTCAAAGTGTGTCAGATAGTGTCAATGAATTGTGATACCAGCGTGCACACAAAGTGCTTATCATACTGCTGGCAACCTAAAACAATGGCAGGGTCACGTGACTAAAAAGAAGTCAGCTTATAACCTTGTAGGAGGGTTATTGGACCAATCAGCATGAGGCGGGGGCGGGCTCAGCAGAGCACACATGAGTTGTCAAACAGGTTTGTCTTGAGCTGCTAAGTACTTTCAAACATTCTCCTGAACAGGACAGCACTGTGTTCACTGGGCTAAAACCACAAACCCAGGAGAGTCTCAGGAGACCCAACAGGGACCTACAAGGTGAGTTTTCTGTAGAAATGCCAGAAAAACAACCTACGCCTCCATACAGGCAGACCTTGAGCTTGTCAGGGCAAGACTAGAATGTAGGCCTTGAGTATATGTGGGACATTTTTATGTGTTTACCTGGCCTTTTGTGTTTCTGTTTCATTTGTCTTCGGCTTCCTGCTTCGCTCAATGTTTGTCATTTACTCACAATAGCAGAACATGCCAGCACTTGACTCAGAAACACTAAATTAGTAGCTCTATTTTTGTTTGTCTGACCCACCTCTTGACATTCCTCTTTGGTTTGTAATGACACCAGCCTGATACCTTAATGATATGTGTCACGGTGCTGGCTGTCTCTCCTGGTAAAGGGAGATCACATTGTTTTGTTGGAGAGGGGGGTAGATATCTGTAAGGTAAGAATTGGAGGTACCGAAACGTTTGTATGAAGCTCTATCAGCAGGAGTTTGGCTTGGCTCAGACTGGAATGGCAAATATGTAGAGAATGTGACTGGCAGATGCAGATTGTTTAAGCGGCACATTTCAAACACATAGAATCTTTAAGTATATACAGCAGTGCAGGATGAGAGCCTGTATTCATCAAGCTGACTATTATGACCTTCGTCACAGTTAGAGGTTTATAGGTGTGCACAAAGAGGGATGGGTCAACAGATGCTGAGTTGCACCCCTTTGTTATGACTTTACTTAACCTACAGAGGTTTGTAGTCCAGGAAGAAGTCCGTTACAAACCCTGGCAACTGACTGCTTTATTTAAAGATGGGGAGTCATTGTTCCTATAGCAGCTGTTGGTGTGTGTGTGATCTGCTGTGTATTGCCTCCAGACAATAGCTTGTTGACAGCTGTTCTGATGCACCTCCCCATCACCCCTCACACACACACACACACACACTTCTGCCACTCTTTTCACAGGCCTTCTACTGACTGAAAATGAAGTGTCAGTTTTATTGTGTGTTTGTCTGCAGAGAGATGGATGACTGCGAGTTATTGTTCAAATCTGTCTGTGCTGGCAGCCAATGAACTTGCAAGATAGAGAAGGCTTCAGGAGGCTCATTGGCTGCAGCTGTATAGAATGGGGTGGGGTTTATGGGTGTAGTGACTTTTTGGAGTTGGCTGTGTCCTGTCTGTGTTAGACGAGTCTGAAACAGGGATGCTTGCTTGTCGTATGAGGTAAATGTCTTTGTCGACTGTTTATTTCAGGTCTTTATTGAGCTGTCTTTCCTTCATATACTCTCCTGACTGATGTGTCTCTCTTCCACAGGATGTCAAGGGTCCAACTGTGATGCTGACGTTACATCTCTTCAAAAAGGAGTGGAGCTCATCATGAGACAGCTATACAGACGCACAAATACAGGATAACGTCTGCAGAACAAATGATATTTATTTCAAATCAGCCAAGGAGGAAGCTTTAAACCGAAAGTGCAAAGGGACAGGTACTACTAGTTATACAAAATGCCTTTGGAGACTCTCCAACGCCCGGTGAGAAAACCGGTGAGGACTGCTGTAGCTGCTACACCACCACGCTTGCGGCCCCAGGGGCCAGTGGGGCCAGACTTCTACCGGCAGTTCCCGACAGCAGCGGGCAGACCAAAGCAGAGCGCGGTGGAGAGGCTAGAAGCGGACAAGGCTAAATATGTTAAGAGTCAGGTGGCTCTTTCTAAACAGCAGCCAGTCAGGGCTCCTGATGTGCGGAAGCCTCTGCTAAGCCCCGGCACCGCTCTGCGACCCACCAGGAAGACACCGACCCCAATGAAAACAAAGAAGGAGGGAGTCCAGCTTGACTTGGAGCATCTAAGTAACCTGATCAGTGGTGTGAATGATGGGCCTCAATCCAGTGCTACTGTAAACTCAGAGGACAGTAAAGCTCCTGCCACACCTTCACACAGCTTTCCTTGCCCCACACCTGCAGGAGCACAGCAGAAAAAGGAGAGACCGTGTCCACCTCCCCGCCACGACTGGTCCAGTCCTGCTAAGGTGAGATTAAAAGCCTCTGGACCTGCCAGGGTAGAGAGTCCCAGCTCTCCTGGGTCTCCAGCTGCAGGGACCGTACGCAGGGTGGATGTCATGCCTCAGGCCAGCCCTGTGAGGACACCCTGCAGACCACCTCAGTACATCCGGCAGCCCCTCCAGCCCATACCTTTACATTCCCAGTTTCCACTCCGCCCGGCTACTTCACACCTGCGTCTCTTTCACCTCAGAACAACAGCAGGTCCTTCTCCTCTGAAACCTGTTGTAGCTCCATCGAAACCTGACGACCCTCCCTCTTCTCCAGGTGGAACCCCTGTCCCTGCTACACCTCCCCCCAGCCTCCCTCTTCTCCCTCCTCCCTCCCCGGCAATTACGCGTTTGTCTTCTTCGAGCTCCAGGAAGCGCCCTTCTCTCACCCGGTCTAAATCAGACATGAGTGATCGGTGCTCCAGAGCCGGCACAGAGCTGGAGCGCTTCTTCAACCTGTGTGGTCTGGACCCTGCAGACCTGCAGGAGTGGGCTGGATCTAGTTCTGACATTGTGTCCATGGCCCGCTTCCGCAGTGTGAGTGCTCCAGGGTCTGAGTGTGCAGGCTCAGGCAGAGAGGATGAAGGTGAGGAGGAGGAGGAAGCAGCCAATGCTGCAGGGCGTGTTCCCTACGGTGTTTCTGTTATTGAGAGAAATGCAAGAGTGATCAAATGGCTGTATGGACTCCGTCATGCCAAAGACAATTCAAGTAAAAGCACCAATTTATAGGATGGTGTTAAATGGTCTAAAATAAGCTTTAAAACAGAAGTAAATTTCAGTGTGTCTGCAAAACACATTAAGTGATGGGATCCTGTGATTAAACTGGTAGTAAACTGATGTGGTGATATAATGATGGATGATGGAAGTAATTCACTTCCCTTGTTGTTTGTTTTGATCAGGTTTTTTGTTGTTTTTTTTATTTTTTATTTTACAAAATTTGAAATTTGATGAAATGTGCTATTGAAGAACAGAAACAGTTTTTGTTAATTTGAGAAATTCTCAATATGTTTTGTTATTTTGACTTTTCAAATGTGTCTTTGTGCGTGTGTCACATTGGGGATGTCGTGGTGTCATCTCTGGCTGTAAATGTGCGGCATTAAAGATTGAATGATGCAAGCATCTTGTTTGTTACTGATTTATTTTACAGAACCACAACAGTGATACATTTGGTCAGAGTGTGCTCTGACCAAATGTATCACAAAGTCCATATCAATGTATGTAATGTATGGAGTTGCTTTGAAACAGCTCTTCATTTTGCTAACTATGAAGTTGCTGATTATGAAATTGTCAGAAAGAGGAAGAACAGGACCAACAGGCGTCATTTAATGGAGGAAATGTTCACTGCTGTTCCACAAGAGGTCAGAGCAGTCCATACTGACACATACTATTGCTCTGTGCAGGAATACCTCTGATTTCTTACTGATCTCTGAAAACCGTGGCCCTTTTTTCCTTTTCTTAGATGAACAGAGAAAATACTAACAGTATTTTTATTTTTTTTTATTTTGCACTTTTTAATTCTGCATTAGGAGGAGCTGGAACTGGGGTCAGATGTGGGACAAAAAAGTAAAAATATAACTGAATTTAAACTTTGAAAAGCTCCAAACCAGGTTTTAAAATTATCTATCTATCTATTTATACATCTATACGTATCATTAGAGTTCATATGTGGCATTTAAAAGTGACCTGCAGCCAGTTAAACCTTTCGAACATACAGTAAAAATCATTAATAAATTGTTTTTTGTGAAGTAACACATACATAATAGAACTGTTGTTGAGTTCCTTCATTCTTAGTGTGAATATGAGCAGGTGGGTGGATAAGAGCACCTCACCTCACAAGTTGTTCAACCAGATTCCAGCGTCAAATAAGTAGTGGTAGTGTGTCCGACTGTTGCTCCGTATTGTGGTGTTATTCCAGGGATGGGTTGTCTTAAGACTTTTACAAATCAAGTCCAGATATTAAAGAATCAGTTATTAAGACAGACCACGGACAGAGACTCATGCAGCGAAGATCAGCAGAGGGTAAATTTTCCAAATTTAATATTTCTCTTCTCCTTCTGCTTTTGCATTCATATTCAAAGCAGGAAAACATTCAACTTTTCAGTGTAGATTTTGCAGGAGTCATTAGTACTAGTTGAACTCAGATGTTGACTACAGATGATGTTATTTTTAAATTCACCCCTTGTGGCAACTGTATTGCAGTTTTTGCTGGGTTGTTCTGATGCAGAGAAACACACACAACACAGTGCATCAAATAACCCTTGATTTAAATGGAGGTACACAAATCTGACTGCCTAAAATATTCTAGTTTTGGAAACAATATCATTTTTTGTACCACATGCTCTCAAAATTGCACTTCTTATCTTACCTGTCTTTGACATCGGGCTCATAGACTTTAATCCACATCACCTATTGTTATATTCTACAGCCACAAGAGAACTTTATTTGGAAGAAGAATTGAAAGAAATGTGAGCAGGAGACTCTCATTTGAAGGATTTCACTGTGATAGTTGTGTGACTAAACTAAAGAGATGACAACCAGAAAAGTTAGTTGGCAGAATTTAAAGAATGTAGAGAAACTTTCTAAATACACAAAATCAGCTAAATGTTTGAACTCATGTTTCAGTGGTTACACAGACAACAGTAACTCTTCCCTCCACCTTCCTGTCTGCTCTCTGGTCTTCACAGGGGTCGGGGGGGATTCCTCTAGCCAGGAAGGTGTGTTATGCTGTGGGTGGGGTCCCATATCAGATTACCACAGTAGCTATAGGTGTTTCCCTGCAGATCTTTCTTCTGGATGTTGTGCAGGTAAAGATCACGGCTTACAAAAACAACCACTTGTTTTTCTTAACTATACCGTCTTGCCTCCTGTATGTGTCTGAATTTCAAAATAAAGCATCTCGCTGTCTCACAGATGGAGGCCTCCTATGTTTCCATGATTTTATTTGTGAGTCGAGCCTGGGATGCTGTGACTGACCCCGTGGTTGGATATCTGGTGGGCCGTAGTAACTGGACGCCCGTCGGCAAACTCACTCCATGGTTGGTTGGTTGGTGGAGCCGAATGTTTAACACACTTCATCTTGAATTAATCTGTGATTCATCCTGCGGCGCTGTATTCAACAGAGCCAACCATGTTTATCTCACAGGCTGGTTCTTTCCACGCCATTTGGTGTGCTGTCCTATCTGCTGCTGTGGTTTGTGCCACAAGGCTCAGTGTCAAAGGCGCTCAGTGTGCTGTGGTTCCTTACTGCAGCCTGCCTGTTTGAGACCCTCATGAGTGTAAGTCAGTGTAAGTGTTACTGGCACTTCCCATTCCTTTCAGAATCAGAATCAGAATCAGAAATACTTTAATAATACCTTTACCCCAATTAGTACAATTTTGAGGCATATATCTGAGTATTTTCATTTTATGTTACTTTATACTTCTTTTTCACTACATTTCAGAGGGAAATATTGTATTTTTAAAGGACCAGTGTGTAGGATTGAGTGGCATCTAGTGGTTTTTCCATTTTGGGCAAATACAAACATGGTGGCCTCATTAGCAGTGGACCTGCCCCCTTTGCAGATAAAAACAGCTCATTTTAAGGTAACAAAAACAAAACAATTGCTATATTCAGTTCATTGTACACTAATGAAAACATACCGATAAATATTAGATTCCATTTCTGACAATAGATCCTCCTAAATGTTACACTGGATCTTTAAGTCCACTACATTTATCTGACAACTCCCTTTTTAGTTGCTTTTCAAATATAGATTTTATAGGACCCTCATCACAAATTTCAGATGTCTATGAGTTGTTAGCATTAGCCAATATTTCCCCCAAAAATTAAAGATTGGAGAAAAGTAAAAACAATTCATATAGATTTTTGTATCTTTTTTCTCTTTTTTCTATTTATCATCCCATAACTCCTCAGATTTATGTTGTGACTCTTTGGAGGCGCCCAACTTCTCAGTTGGGAACCACCTGACTTTAAGGTCCAGTGTAACATTTAGGAGAATCTGTTGGCAGAAATTGAATATTCATAACATTGAACATTCATAGGTATGTTTTCATTAGTGTATACTCACCTGAATATAGGAATTGTTGTGTTTTTGTTACCTTAGAATGAGAAATTTGTATCTACAGGATGCTGCAGGTCGCCTTCTACTGAGGATGCCATGTTGAACTGCCATATTTCTACAGTAGCCCAGAACGGACAAACCAAACTGGCTGTAGAAAGGGCTTTTTGTGTTTTGCAGCCACTGTAGTTTCTCCTACACTTCTCATTTCCTCATTGTTGACATTGTTGTTCTGGTACTTTTACTTCAGTCAAAACCCATTTCTTTGTCATCTATCGATCTTTTTGCCCCCACTACAGAGCTCTTTTTCTCTATCTTTCTCACGTCACCATGGTGACAGAATTTGTTATGTCACTGTTGCTTCAGCCATTTTGCTCCAAGCTGTGTCACCATGGCTACCGAGTTTCACACCGCTCATGTGCTGTCAGTTGGCCTCATGTTTTCCCCTGTCATCCATTAACAGTGCTACAACGTTCCTTACCTCTCCCTCAGCATGTTCCTGGGGGGAGATCGCAGAGACAGAGACTCTGCCACAGCCTACAGTAAGAGTACAGACACTCATCTCAGATCCTTATTCTCAGGTCAAGCCGAACAAAATGTGGACCAGGATTTCCCCCCTCACACGCCTTGTCCTCTTCGCTTTGACTCTGTCTTTCTCTGGCAGGAATGAGCGTGGAAATGCTGGCGATGCTGTTGGCTTCTGTAATTCAGGGTCAAGTTGTAGCTGTGTACAACAAAGAGAAACAAAATGTCTGTCAACATTTGGACCATGAAACACCTCAAAGCACATCTTCACCACAGAACGCATCCCTGCAGGAAACGGTAGATCCTGAACCTAAAGCGTTATATAAACTAACTGAACTGAGATAACGCTCACATTTCTCTAGCAGCCCAGCAGCATTTCTTTAGCATTGTACTCACACAGTCCCAGGGATATCTTGTTACCCTGTAATTTACTGCCCTTAGCTCAACATAGGCATTGTTGTGTGTTCATCTGTGTGTGTGTGTGTGTGTGTGTGTGTGTACATGTGTTCTCAGGATTTTGTTGTTGTTACACAACTGCAGTGTTAAGAAGAACCAGACTAGATTTATTAGAAATAGATGACCTAAGTGTATTTTGAAAAACAACAATTAATTTAAACTATGTAAGTAATTATGCCGGACTAAAGGAACAGTTCCACATTGTGGTATCAAGCTTCTTTAAATCTCTGCAAGAAATCTAAACTAAAAACTAAAACTAGGCCTGAAGAAACATTTTAATTAACTAAAATAAAAGTAGGCTTAAGAAAAACTAAACAAAGACTAACTGAAACAATATTATGTACTTGAAAAAAATTAAAAATATACAGGAAATGTTTTAGTAATTGTCAAATTAGTCAACACAATAAACACAAGGAGGCGTTGGTGCAAATGGTTTTGAGACTGCGATGTCTAAATTAATGTGAGTCAATGTTTTTGTATTGTAATACCTATTCTGACAAATGCTCCAAAATTATAATAATAATTAAAAAAAAAACTAAATCCAATACTGAAACTAATAAAAACTAAACATTTTCAAACAATACAAAGTAAACTGAAACCAACAAACCCATTCTGGAAACTAAATAAAACTAAACTGACTGGAAATGAAATTAAAAACAAAATACAAATAAAAAGTAATGGAAAATACTATAATAACTCTGCTTTGAGCACAAGTTGAAATGGTCATTTATAATCATGAATGTGTATACTCTGAATACTTTGAAGTGGGATAACTTGATCTAAAGGCAAAGTAATCCCAAACATATGAGGATTATGTTACATAACTGAATAGCAAACATTGTAAGCCTCTGGGTATGTGTTTGTTGACAGCATAATTGTGCTTTATTTATCTTTAAATGTTTAGTGTGTGTTTTTTTGCCCCCAGCATAAGGCTTTCCTGACCTCAGCTCTGGTCATGGGTGCCTTGTTTTTCCTCTGCAGCCTGGTTCTCTTCCTGGGGGTGCAGGAGCAGCGAGGTGAGTCATTCAGAAGTGGCCAATGCTAATAACACTATGAATAAAAAAATATATTATTGTTGTTTAGCTGCTTTGCGTAGCTGTAATGTATTCCAGCAGAATGTTTCCATCACAATTTCACAAATATTTCACTCTCCTTCCTTATAATTTCATTTTATTTTCAGCGCCTGTCTGCTCTGATGAGAAAGTACGACCATCCTATCTGACCTCACTGAAGTTGCTGATATGTCACAAACCTTACCAACGACTGGTGCTTGGCTTTGTGTTCAGTGCACTTGCATTTCAGGTACAGTTTGATCTCATAGTGGTTGTGTCACATTCCTCTAAACCACAACTCTGATGAAGTAAAGAGAGCTTCATAAGCTAATAATCATTTTATAATGATCTTTTTTCATATCCATATCTGCACTTGTTTTTTTGATATTTCTTTCTCCATATTCTCTATATTTAATGGCTATCAACAATGTGCAAAATATACCACAGCTTTCGGGGAGCTCTCTTTTTTTAGGGATGGGGTGCTTTTTCTGATCTTTGAGTAAAAGTGAGTGGATTTTATGATATTGTGGGGCTATGGTGATGGCAAGAATAGCAAGCATGAGTATCTTTATTAAAATGAATTAGATGAATCATACAGAGACCACCCAAAATGTCACCAATCATGTTTTAAGGGAGCACAACAGCACCAGTTACACCTTTTTATAAAAGCACAACATGTGTTTTTGTCCTGTATCTGTTATCTCAGATGGCATTGGGTAACTTTGCACTCTTCTGCAGTCATGCTGCTGGGCTGGGAGCCCAGTTCCAGCACCTCCTACTGGTTCTACTGGTGAGATACAACTAGAATCACACACTCTGCTCACCAAGATGCTTATAAATGCAACATCTCAACAGCCCTTTCAAGGATTTCACATGATTAAAAGATGAATGTTTCCACAGGCTTCTGCCTCTATAGCAGTTCCTCTGTGGCAAGCAGTTCTTCTGAGAATTGGAAAAAAGGCCACAGTTTTCATCGGATTATCAGTAAGCAATCACACATATTCTTATACAATAATCCGAATGAGAGTCATGTACCACATCTTCAAAATCACCTTCTTATCTGTGAGGCCCTGTCTCTCTCAGCTCTTCATCCCAGCAGCGATTATAGTTGCCTGTGTTCCCGGTAACCTGCCAGTCTTCATGACTATGTGCATTCTGATGGGATTCAGCGTGGCGACCATATTCTTGCTACCCTGGTGAGTCAGCTCCCAGCTAGGACACAAAGTTCTCAGTCCTTTCCAAGGCCCCTGTCAGATCTAATTAGTGTCAGAACTGAATGCGGTGCACATGAATCATTCACATTGCCCACCTGACCCTGGCCTGTGATGAATATTCTAGCAAAGATGTGTTTTGTTGACTGCAGCTCCGCTCATCTAAATTGACATGGGTTAGGGTTAGTGTTTTGACATGTGATATGTCAGCTTGTTGTGTATCGGCTATTAGGTCTATGCTCCCCGATGTGGTGGACGACTTTGCTGTGAGACATCCGTCCTGCAAAGACCTGGAGCCTCTGTTTTTCTCCTGCTACGCCTTCTGCAGTAAGCTGGCGGGAGGCCTGTCCGTTGGAATCTCAACCATGACATTACAGTGAGTCAGTCCTCCCTCCACTCACTTTATGTGTTACGTGTGTACATCTCTTGGTTCATCACATTTTCCCTGTCTGCAGATTTGTGGGCTACAGAGCGGGTGCGTGTAACCATGGTGACAGAGTGGTGATGGCTCTGATTGTGCTGTTCTCACCAGTTCCCATCGCACTTCTGCTGATAGGGATGGTCTTTTTTCACTCCTACCCAATCAATGAGAGGCAATCTTTACAGCTCCGGGAACAACTGACCACAGTTCAGTAAGTGGCTTTTCGGGTGAATTATCCTCTCAAGAGATGAAGGCCACCGATGGTTCCTGATGTTTAAAGTGCTTATAATGATTTTATATAACAATGATGGTTATTAAATGTTCAAATTATGCATCATAGTGATCAACCTACAGAAAATAATGATGTAAATCTGCAGCTTTATATGATGATGAGGATATTTTATTATCAGCTCAAATCTGATCCATTTTCCACATGACAGGAAAGACATAAATTAAGTGAAGAGATAACCATACAGACATTTTAAGATAACATTTCAAACACAGAAGACAGCTCAACTGTTACTTAACAGATGGTTCACTCCCACTGCTCCTGTAGTGTTGTTTTCTGCTGCAGCTGTTTCAGCAAAAAAATAAACTCTTAAAAACTACTTTAGTGACTTGTTGGTGAACATAGTGGAGCACTTAGGAAGTTAAGAGCCAGATATTTCCTTTAGGAGTTGGTAAAAGCCGAAAACTCAGCTAAAAGAGAGTGAACATTGGACCTACATTCATCAGGTTGACAGACACATGACTCCAAATGACTGTTTTTGCCCAAATGGCAAGTTCGCAGTCAGAGGTCTAGATATCAAATAGCAGCCTGGTTATATCCAGTTTCAAAGCTATTTTCCAAAGCTTTGATGTTAGCATTACTACTGCGCTACAAGTCAATGGGATATTAAAGAAATTATTTGACATATTGGTAAATGAGCTTATCCCCCTTTCTTCCTGAGAGTTAGATGAGAAGACTGACACCACTTTGTATGCTACCTGAAGCTACAAAGAGCAACTGGTTAGCTTAGCTTAGCATAAAGAGCAGAAATAGGGCAAACCAGCTATTTATTATATATGTTATATGTTATGTTGTTTGATTAATCCACACAAGACAGACGTGTGAAATGAGATATTGCTAATCGGTGAGCTTCAGAGGAGTTGGTAGGCTTTTGTTCAGATTTTCCAAAACCCTTAAACCATGAACACACTGACTAGTCAAACAAATGTAAAACATGCACTGAAATAGCTGCAGAACAATAACAGCTTTGTGATTTTGCATATATGCACAGACTGTTCTCACTCTTTCAGGATTAATTATATCAATAGAGACACTGTAATTCATATTTCTATGAAACCTCTTGCAACACATCTTCCTTGTAGTAATATCTATGTATATTATCATAGCATCATTTTCAAAAACAGCATCACATTTATCAGATTACTGTATATGTCAGTAAAAACAACTTCATAGTGACATACATGTTTTGATTCATTAATATTCTTTGTTTTTCCTCCAGCACAGAAGCTACATCATCCTTGTCAGCCCCGGGAGAAAACTCAGAGCAGCCAACAATTGTGCAGCAGCCCCATGCTGGTGTGACATCAACTTCACATTATAACACAAAGACAGACGCGTCATACAAGTCAAATTCCTCACCAGGTTGTTACAATTATGACCAAAAATGCTCAGTCAAGTCATCTGTCCTTTCCAATGTATCCAAGAGCCCCTCCGGACAATACAGGCGGCCTAAATCAGTTGTCCAGTCAAATGTTAATCCGCAAAAGCAGAGCCCACACTGGCACTCTGGAGACGATAAATTGGGCAAAAATTTCCCTAAAAATGACCCCGGGCCTTTCTCTAGCAGGCCAAATATGAAATCTAAAGTGTCGTGGGTGTAGTCTGACACCTCTAAGTGATAATTTGACATTTTGGGAGCTTTTTTTTTACTTTCTTGCAGAGAGCTCTCATGTCTGTACGTTAAATACGAAACTACTGGAAACAGCTAGCCTAGCTTTGACCAAAGATAAGAAAATGTCACGTACCAGCACCTCTATAAAGTTCACTGATTAACACGTTAAACCTTGTTTGTTCTATCCGTACAAAAACTGAAGGGTAGAAATGACAAGTTGTTCCTTGTTGTCACTGTGCGGTTGCTAGGTAACAGAACATAACTTCCTGGATAACCTCAATGTGTTGTTTTCACATCTCTGTTTGTGTATGAACTAAATTAACAACCTACAGTATAACATGTGAATTAGTCAAATATGGAGGTGCTGGAAGGCTACCTGTTTCCCCCTGCTTCCAGCCTTTATGCTAAGCTACGCTAATCTCCTCCTAAAGCTTCATATTTAGCGTTTGCAGACGTAACAGTGGTATCGATCGTCTCATCTAACGCTCAGCATTCGGTGAGATTAAATGGATGATTCTGGATCTGGCCCCCTTTCAGCTGAATCTGTGTCATCGTACTTATCCTTCTTATCCAGTATGGAGGATTATATATATATATATATATATATATATTAATACTGATTGGTTCAGAAGCACACAAATGTAAAAATAAATTCAAATTTTGATTGCTATAATTTAAAGCCCTGTTAATTATTTCCATGAATATTCCCACCAGTACATGTGCCTTTCTCTTTCACTTCTTCTAGCTGATTTAATATTATTGTTTGTCTCTGCAATGTTGTTTATTGTGATTCATGTTGAAGTCACAGCAGGTTTTTAAAAGTGTAAGTAGTCTAATCTTGTTGTCATTGTTTGCCCCATATGCTTGAAAGTTGCATTTATATTCAACGCTATGCATACGTTTTATTTGCTTACATTCACACACCTCTAAACATCCTGCACCTGTGCTCAAATTAATAAACTTTTGTCAGTAGTTATTCGTTTGTACTGTCATCGACTTCAAATCAGCTCAATACATGTCTGAATTACTCTACACACATAAAGTACAGACGTGATGGAAGCTCTCTTACCCTTAGACAAACACTTTTTACATTAGACGATCACACAGCTTGATCCCTGCATTGGGTTGGTTTTTTTAAAGTGAAATTTATTAAATGAAGGTCATCTGAGAGGTGTGACAATTTACTCGATCAGACACTTTCATCGCGTTATTTTAGGCCTCAGCAGGCAGCTGTTTTCATTGAACAAGCTTTAAATAAAAAAACACTAAGTGGAGCATTTAGCAGTCAAATACAGCGCTAAAGGAGAGTAAACACTCGACTAAATGGACAAATAAATCAGTTATTTCAGATGTAAGCAAAACAACTGCATCACAGATTAGCACCCACATCTGTTGGCAATCAAATAACCATTAATAACGTCATGATGTTACTGCGCTGCTTCTGTTTTTGCGTGATTTTAATACTATAAAACAAGGTCTCTATATACAGTGTTTATAGGGTTAAATAATCAGAAACCACCTACGTATTTCCAGCAGTGTTATCACATCACCACACACAGGCGTGGTAAAAGGAACATCAAACAATCATTCAGGTCTTGAACAATGGCCCACGTTAGGCGAAGTTCTTTGGAAGGGAAAACGAAAGCAAGCCCCCGAATGGCTACAGTGATGAGCACAGTTTGTTTTTCTGGGCATTGAGAGGTTATTGCCAATGCTCAACTTTCAGTTTAACATCCACATAAAGTGGTTTAACCTGATTAAACTGTTAGCTTGTTTGCTAACTGTCTGATCATCTGTCTGCTCCTGTTACTTTGCCTGTCAGAAGTAAAAAAAAAAAAAAAAACTACATGTACTGTGACAAACAAATCTGTTATTGATATACTGCATCTGTCCTACCGTCACACCCTCCTCTTTAGCTAGTAGGCCTTCGTCACTGCTGGCATTTTGACTAGTCAAAAGAGGAAAAACACAGGTGAAACTAATAATAACGATGGCTCTGTTTCATTTATGTGTAATGTTGTGAGACTGTGAGCACAACACGGAGCCCTGGAAGTGGAATTTGTTATTCAGCACCTGTGACTTTGCTGCTTTTTTATGTCAAAATGTCTGAGAAAAAAAGTCTGTTGATCGGCTTATAGACGGCTTATAGACATGGACGGATTATGAGACAATGGGACCCTGGCTGGACTCTGATGTGTAAAAGGGAACCAAGCCCCTCCTACACCGGAGCAAGACACCTGAAGAGAACCAACTCGACTATAAACAACACGGCTGTGTAATTTGCAGCCTGTAGTTTGTCG